CTTATAATGTAAAAACAAATACTACAAAAAGATAATCCTTATTTTCAAATTTTATTATCTATAATTATTTTTTTAATATATTTGTATTTTAAAAAAGTAAATCAGAGCTGAATAAATACAAAAACACAGGCAAATTTGCCTGCATTGGCTTACAATCTAAGGGATAAATTAGTATTTGAACAGCTTTCTTACTGCAATACTAATTTAGTTGATATATTAGAAAGTAAAAAGTTATTGAATAATTATGCTCTAATATTTGAATACTTCTATTCAACTATTGTTTCTTAAATTAGTAGTGAAACAATAGAATTGGAATTTTCAAATGATATAAAACAAATTCAAGAAAATTATAGTAATATAGATATTAGTAAAATACATGATATCTATAATACAAATAAAATATGTAGTAATAATAATAGTATACAAGATATTGATGATAATAGTGTATAAGAAATTTATAATAATTTATTATCATTATATTATTCTGAAATTGAAGAGGATTCTAAAAATATACTAAAACAAAAAATTACTGAAATTGTTAATTCAGATAATAATTTTGAAATTAGAAAGTGTTCTAAGAATACAGTTTTAGAAATTATTAAAATAATTGATTCTAATGATGATTCAAGTGAAAATCAATGTTATACTTTGGAAAAAAAAAAGAAGTAGTGAGCTCAATCTGAAGAAATTAAGGTTGGTTAAATTACATATTAACAAAAATAAATAAAAAATAAAAAATAAAAAATAAATAAATAAATAAATAAATAAATAAAATAAATTAATTAATTATTGATAGTAAAAATTTTTTTATAGTCAAATTTGACCTATCTATTATTTGAAAAACATAAAACAGTTCAACAATCAGCAATTTTAAATATAAAAAGAAACTAGAAGCTTATATAAAGTAAAATAGAAAAAATATATAAAGTTAAACATAATAGAATATTTGAGTATAGTAATTTTATAAAAATTCATATACCAGATATTGATAAGAATAAAATGAGTTGAAGATTCTTACTCTATAAAATACTTCAAAAAAAATCTAATATTGACTCATATCAAATTGCTTACTAATATAATATATATGAACATTAGTATCTAGCAAATAAACTTAAGCTATCTATATAAATAAAGTGTGATTCTTCGTCACTAAATTCATGTGACTTCTTAGGGAGTATGACTATCTCTGAGAGGTTTTTATTGAGTTTGGCGAGGATGCGATAAGTTATAATATGAAGAATAAATATTTACTATTGGTGATATATAGTAAATATTTATTCGTCACATAACAATTGGTCACACCTAAAGCCCGAAAGATTTGATGAGAGGGTGATAAATTATTATATGACGAATAAACATTTACTATAAGTAATATATAGTAAATATTTATTCGTCACATAACGATTAGTCACACCCTTTTCAGTAAAACTCATGAAAAGACAAATAATAAAAACAGCAAAAAAAAAAATTTAATTGCCGATTCTAAATTTGGATTTATTTAATTTAATTAATCTAAATTTAGATTAATTAGTAATAAATATCGAATTTAAGCAATAATTATCATAATACGATATGTATTCGTACCTGTAACTCCTTAATAATAATCGTTACATTAATTTTAATTATGCGAAATGATGAATATCATTATATGATACAAGGAGTTAATTAAATGTCTGATTGTATTAATTTAATTTTATTTAAATATAAAAAAATTAATATAAAAAAAT